ACGGGTTGGAACCTAGACTATTTGACGCGATCAAAGTCACTAAATTTGCTCATTCGTGAGTATAACAATTAGAACCTGAATTGCATGGGGAAGCAGCTCGATTTCGTGATCATGGGTCAAGTTTTTTTCTTAGATACAAACATTTTATACTTTCATTTGCCAGCGATTGCAATCAGCTGAAATGAGAAAAAAATATGTCCGTTAATAATTTAAAAGTCAGCGCCAATGAAAATACAACATTTATGTGTCTAATTTATTATTGAAATTTTTATTCTATTGGCTCTTACATAACTACAGTTTCAAAAATCCGAAAAACAACCAATCACAATCATTGATACTAAAAGGATTGATTTTTTTCGAATACGTTTCAGCTGTTGTATCCATTGAAAAGTAAGATTGGTATGGAGCTAAGTTTTACTTTTGTCTGTTAAGATGTTTCCTATTTATTATAAAAGACATAGACTTTTGTAAATTAGCATCAATCAAGTTCTTAAGCCTTTTCTAACAGTTTGTGTTTTAAGTTATAATATTAAAATACACACCACTACCCTCTTAAGGAAACCTTTCTTCTAAAAAAGTAAGAGAGAAAGTAAGAGATAGTCGAGAAAGAAAGAGTAAAAAACGTTGCCTTAAGAGAATAGTGGAGTGTAATACTAAAATGTGTATTTCATTAAAAACTGTGTTTCTCCTGTCGATCTTAATTATCAACATACAACAATTGGAATCAGCTAAATCACATATTCCCGATGAACATGCTTCACTTCAATTTAATAGACCGAACTCACATATACAATATAATATTGCTTCCTTAGTGAAAAAACTTAACCCGGATTCAGCTGTTCGTATTATTGAAGAGACTGCAGCTGATCTACATCTCTATGAACTTCTTGAACATAGGTTAAAGCAAGAAGTTGAAAAGATAAAAAGTAAAAAAGAAAACCCAAACGAAATAGTTTATGGATATGGAAATCGTAATCCTCCAGTTTATGTTCCATCAACTGTTGAATATATCGCTGCTGTTTCTACTCCATATTCAATTCCATCGACTACTGTTAAATATATTCCTCCTGTGACTAGACCATATTCAACTAAAACGACTGCTGTTAAATACACCAAGCAATATGTCCCTCCAAAAACAGAAAAACCAACAACGACAACGATGGGTCCATATTTCCCTGATGTATCTGAATATGATTCTAGCGCATATATGCCAGAAGTACCAGAAAGTAGTCACTTATCTGATGGTTATCATCCAAGCCCTGAAGAGGATGAAGACTCAACCCAAATATAGTTTATTTAATCAATGTTGTTATTTTATAAATTGACAAGGTTTCATTGTTATTGACCTGTTGTAAATAAGTTTCATACTTTTAAACAATCATGAAAATCTTGTATCATTGATGAAGATAATACTCTTAAATATGACTATTAAATAAATATCTTGTTCACAATTATACATTTAATCCAATTCATTCGTTAATTCGGTAACTTTTATTCATTTACTAATCGTTAGCCATGTTTCAGCGATCTTTCAACCTTCTTATGCATCTTATCGGTAAGATTCATTCATTTTAGTGAAAATAATTCAAATGTTATACAAAAACACTAACTTTACATGAAATATTAAATTGGCAATTTTCGTTAAAAAGCATGAAATTTTGTGTTAAAAAATCTTGTATCATTGATGAAGATAATACTCTTAAATATGACTATTAAATAAATATCTTGTTCACAATTATAAATTTTATTCAGTTCATTTGTTAATTCGGTAACTATTATTCATTTACTTACCGTTTTTCAGCGATCTTTCAACCTTCTATGCATCTTATCGGTATTATTCAATGATTTTAGTGAAAAAAATTTAAATTTAATACAAAAACACTTGTTTAATTTTACATGAAATATTAAATTGGCAATTTTAGTTTAAAAATAACAAAAATGTGCTTTTGTCAAAAAAATGAGCTAAATAGTTACTTTTTAAGCAAAGGTATGTAACCAAAATAAATAACAATCGCTTATTTAAACATGAGTTCAGCACAAGAAAAAAAATATTCACCATTAATTATCTACAAAGCAACAATTTAACGTTGGTTACATGATTATTACACTAGTCTCGGTATAACGGAGATATATTTACTGTCGCAGCTGTAGATGATTGTAGCTGATTTAAAGGTTTGCTTGGTGTATATGTGCTTCTTTTTGGATTCATTGTGAATAAATTGATTTGAGATTCAGAATTTCCGATTGGATAATTTACTCTGTAAGGTTCAGCTTCATTACGATTTATTAGTGGAAACAATCCTCTCAATCCAGTTTTGAAAGCAGCATAAGCCTCTGCTGATGATGAAGAAGAGGTCAACGTTTCACGTGATCTTCCATCATAATTAACGTTATCTTCTCTTGGTGATAATCCAATTATTTGCTTGTAATTATTTAAATTATCCATTGGACCAGTTCGCGGCATATCTCTAGGTCTATCTTCTCGACTTTCGCCCGATCGCATGTGTTGCACCAATACAGGTTCCTTTGAATTGGCCTGGTCGCCTTCAACATTATACCAATCTCGTTGTCGATAGTTATCTTGATATTTCTTTTGTTGTCCACTGTTATTCATTTCAACATCCCGACTGTTCGCCTCGTTAGAATATGACTCCATTGATCCTGAATTTTCATAGAATACTTCGGGAATCAGATTAGTAATGAAATGTGGCTGCTCTGATGACAATTCATTTCTCGAAGTCTCATAAGATTCAGTCAATGGTTTATCTGGGTATGCGGCAGGTCTTTTCCTTGTCGGTTCTCGTCGATTGTTTGGTATTGATGAAGCTCGAGGGGAATATTGTGGAGCAGAGGATTTTACCGTATTCATCTGGTGAATTGGTTTACTCGGATTATTCTGATATCCGATCTCAGCTGAACGTTGATAACTATCCCTTTCATTTGAATAACTATTTTCCCGATTAATTTTATTTTTACTCATTTCTTGCTCATTTGAGTAGTTGCTCACATCATGGACTGGTTTATGTTCAGTTGACTCTATTGAATCAGACGATTGTTGGAAATGGCCAACAGGTAAAGGAAATTCGGGAAGGTCATAATCAACACGAGGAACAGTTGGTGGAGCTACTAGTTGAGTAGGATTACGATCTCTTGATGATTTGGATCGGCCGAGGTCTTTTGGTTTCTGTTTGGGTTTATTTATCATGTGATTATGACTATCATAATGCTGCTTTGCATCGTTAGTCCATCGGTCATCAGTATGATGTCTTATAGACGATTTGCCAACATTTTTAACATCAGAGCTTTCATGGTTAGTCCATTTCATTTCTGATTCTTTTCTGATGATTGCTGGATTTTTAGATTGTTTGGTAATTTTCTTATCAAGCGGTTCATGGTAAAATCTTTGTTCACTTTTCTCAATCGGTTTTATTTCTCTTTGTTCAGTTGACTGTCTTCTTTTACTCAAATCATAAGCTGAATATTGACGCTCTTTTTTCAAGCTGCGAGTTCTTTCCTCTGGTGACAATTTTTTAGTTGATGAATAGCTATGAGGTTTATCAACAATCCATTGATTACTTGGTTTAATCTTATTTTCGTTTGGAGGGTCTTGATGTCTTGGAGACCAATCCGCTGCGGCAGACAAGTACTGAGACTCTGCATCTCGAGCTGAATCTGATCTTGATCGTAGCTTTTGTCTAAATGCTGCAGAAGACGATACAGACGGTGTTGGTGGTCTAGGTGGTGCCAATGGTGGTAGTGGCCTGTCATCAGAATCGTATGATTTGTCGTTATTTTTTCGATAATTGTCATAGTCATGAGTTGCCTGTTTCTTGTGTTGTTTGACTGGTTCATCATAATGTTTGGTTATTGGATGTTTTACTGATTTCAGGTGGTCATCATTCATAATATTTCGAGCCAATGATGAGATAGGAACTGGTGTTGTTACATCAGGTGTATAAGGTTTGGTAACCAGTGAAACAGTCGGTGAATTATATCCTTGAATTCCAGGCTCGTTTGAGCTCATTTTAACACGAAAACCATTTTTATCGGCAATATATTCAACCTTTCGATAGATACCATTGGCGTCAACATAGCCGTACGAACCAACTTTAGCACCATCTCCATCGCTCTCCTCATGACGATGTTGTAAATTTCCTTGTCCATCTTCAATCTCATATCCAAACTGATAAGGTTTTTTTATTTTATCGTCACTAATGTCTTTGAAATCGTGCACCAGCTGAAAAGATAACAATAATTAATTAATGAAAAAATTTGAAAATTTCTTAACATTGGAAACACAATTTGTCAACAAATTTAATGGATCTTGAATTTGAAGTATTCATTGTACAAATATTTGTAGTAATTATTGTCTAACCTCGTTTAATTAGCAATCAAATATTTGTCAAGATAAATAACTCAGCATAGAATAGCAATAAGAATCAAAGTCAGAGAAAAATTGATTTTTTTCTAGTGCATTTAGCATGGCTTGATTAAACTTAGGTGTTAAGGTTCAACAGCTCTTTAGCGGTTAACCAACCATTAAAGTATTACCGTGATCAAACTATCAAAATGCTGTAAGCCATAATCCTATTTACTTTTTTACAATCACTTTGTTTCAAGCTGATTCTCGATTATACAGCTTATTAAAACAGTCAACAATTCATTGAATGTACACAGTAATTAGATGAGAAAATTTGACTTGATTGATTTACCAAAAATGATAATTTCAACATTTAACTATTCCATAAATAATCTTGAGGTTTAAACAATTGATTGTCACATTTTACCGTTCAACTCTTTTTTTAGTGAAATGTAATGAATCAATTGGTACAATTTTGCATCGACATCAATAATTGTGCACTTTAGTAATAATTAGCATGTTTTTTGCAGCAAAAAACCAACACAATACAGGTTAAATATAAATTGTTAACTCTAATAACCTGCGATAATCACAAGTTCCTGCATTTGTTTGCAAAATATATTATAATCACTTGGCAAGGTAATAGTTTTGATTTTTTTATGGTCATTCATGTTGGCAAACGCCGATCCAATTTCGATGGCATTTCCTCCTCGAATCATCAAACGGTATCATCTCAATCTTGGCATTTAATGAAATTTGGATCCCATGATCTAATAAGGCTCAATGATGAGAATTGATCAGCTAATATAATTAAATGTTGAGTAATCTTTGTATGGCATCTTTTTGTTTAAGCTTGAGGTAACCCATTAAATGATATTCATTGAAATTAATCGTCTTGAAACCATTTGATTATAAGCATGAGAATCAATTCAAAGCAAATGGGTTCACCTGATATCGACCAAAATGATCTTCATATCTAATAAGTCCTGGGTTACATAACAGTACAATTAAAATTCATAAATGATTAAAAGATTATCTTTTAAATCATCATATGTTAGATTAACTTGGCCAAAAAAGGTTGGTAATACAATTAACAGTTCACCCGATTAGAGGCTGATTAATCCTTCCTAACTAAACATGTGGAGAAAAAAAAGATCAATGTTAAAAAGATTATTGATAACAATCAAAAAAATAATAATAATAAGCAACAATTCACCTCAATTTTGAAATGGTATCACACAAATTGGTTACTTGTATCCCATTTTGATGGGAATATGTAGATTAAGATTAAGATGTTTATGGATGAATGAGCACATCACAAGTAATTTTCAAGTAAATTACAAATCTTGAGAAAATATTAATCACTGATGAACAATGTTGAAACGATTGAAGACAGATTATCTGAGTAAACAATAATCGTAAAAAATAATTTACAGTTTGCTTGGTTATTTGGTTGCCATACTTGCGACGACACATTTATTTTAACGGAAAAATGAAGCAACCAAAAATTGGATTGATTAACATTAAAAAAAAGATTGACATAAACAATTAAAGCAGATTCCAATTGTAACCCAGATGAATTAGGACAGCTTAACGGTTAAGGAACCACAAAATTTGAAAATTGTAATCATTTTTAACGGCAAAAAACAATTTAAAACACTTTGAGTGACACCTCTACTCATCACTATCAATTTTCAAATTTCATTGGTTCAACCTAAATAACTGTTGGTTACTTTGAAAAGGCGCTTAAAATGAAAACAATAAATTCCCTCAAAATTTTAAATTTACATAAAAATGATGGAATAATAATTTCATTATTAGCTTTTAATTTATTAATTTATTAATAACAAACAATTTAACTAAAAATAAATCACTTCTATCGAGACTCGAACGTCTAATTTCAATCTAAATAGTTGATCAGAAATCAGAATCTGTAAAATGGTCAATCAATTGTCAGGAGTTAAATCAAATGTCACTGGAAGAAAAATTAATTTAACTTGATTCTTTCCGGATTAATCAATTAAATGTTGAACCATTTTGTCAATGTTTAATCTATTGTCAATCATTGTTAATACAAGAAGGTGAAACGTTCATTGTTAATCAAATAGAATCATTAACTCTTAATCAACCCTTGCAATCTAAATAATAGAAACAGAATTAAAAAGCAAAAATTGTTCCAAAACAATTGAAATTAACATTAAGTTGACCCGATTAAAGTGAGATTCAAAAGATACTCTGGAAATGTGTTACAATTAACTGATTGAGAACCACTAATAAGGTATAGTTAACAATATTCATTTGTGTATCAACTGTCGATCGTAAGGTTAAGTCTAAATTTTAATCATTTTAATCAAATGTTTTCCTTAATTAATTACCTTAATAACGTTTGATTGAATGCAACTGTAAATTATTAAATCACGTTTAGCTTTAAATGCGATCATTTTGTTTGCTTGTTAACGCCAAATATTGATTGATACTTCAACAGATTCTGAAGATTGCAATTAATAGATTGGTTGAGATGAAAATGATCACAATTTGGATAAATAATTCAACATTTTTCAAGTTCAGGAAAATGTATTTGATAATAACATATCCGGAATAAAAATGATAACAACTTTACAATCACCATAACTAGAGATCCACTTTTCGGAATATTATCAAATTTTTCATGTGTGTTTTTGAAAGTATGAAGAAGTTAAATTCAAAAAATGAAAGCGATATTCTTACTAGAATTTAAAATATTGTAGTTTAAATAGAGGCAAGTTTCTAAAATTTGTGCCGACTATGAGAAAAATTAATGGACCATTTTGACCAACACTAGAGGGCGCTAGTCAAAAATGGCCAAAAATTTAGTTAATTATGAATAATTAAGACATTCTAGAGAATTTGATAAGAAATTTACGGGCAAAATGTTTGCAGATACCCAATGATCAATATGCAAAAAAGATTTGGTTGGTAGGTTGAAAGATAAGCTCAGAATTGTTTAGTGAATTAACTCTTCCAAATTAAAATAAAATGTTGAAATTAAAGTGATTAACACTAACTGTGAAGGGTTGAATGGGTTAATTCTTTGGCTATTATTGATACTTTGAGCTATGAAAAAAATTGAATGTTTAAGATAAACGGTTGTCAACTTATCTTCGATTGAAATTCATTATCATTTTTATTCCGGATATGTTATTGATCAGTCAAGAATTGAGTGTAAATTTGAATACAATTTGGTTATTTTCAATCAAATTTAATTGCTGGTCAACAATCCAAGTTACAGTTGAGAGGATAATTGTTGTTTCCTTCAATTGTCAACAATGAAGCATATTTTACTTCCAGAAACTCAATTATTATCAACTTCAACCAACTCAAGATGATAATCGTGTTTGTTTCAAGGGTTTCTTGTTAATCATCTGCAATTCAAAATGACCAAACTGTTAACCTTCAATTTATGTTTTCAAACTGGACTCTCAATCAAGTGCTATTTGCATTAAAACAATGTCATTTTGAATCAATTTTTAAAACTGAATTTATTGATATCACTATTCAAGATGAAAACAGTTTTGTAAACTTGAAAAGAGCCAAGATTTGGGAAGAGAGATTCAATATGATGAAAAAGTATAAACCAGAATTGGTTTTATCCTACAGAACTGTATTTTTTTGATTATTATTAAACATGTTTAGTCGATTATTATAGCACCAAATTGTATAGATGATCAACTTATTTTGTCAAATATTATTGGTAGATCTTGAGACTATAATATTTCATCGACTATCATCGAAAGTGGATTCTGAAAATGAGCTACTTTTTTGGGTCAACTCTAATCATAATGAGAATTAGCATAAACTTTTAGATTCAATCAATTTCTTGTCACAATAAAACTTGACAATAAAAAACAAAATAACTCGACACTGTCCATCAACCCTTAAATAAGTAAAAATGTATGAAAATTGACGTACTGTAGCGATATGCTTACTATATTCAAACAAATTCAATCTGCTATTGGAAATGAACCCAAAAATTAAATTTGCCCAAAATTAGAAAATTAAAAAATTATAATAATAATGGCAAACAACTCAGACAGTTAACAAACCGCTAAATTGTTGAGCCTTGAAAAAATCTTGAGCCAATTGACTTTGAAATATCTGTTGATAACTTGGCGAAACAATGAAACTAGACTGAAACCTAGTAAATGTCAGAAAATCGGCAGTCAATTTTACCTTGATAATCATGAAGAGTAATTATCTGAATTGCTGAGAAATTTGAAGGAAGAATTTTTTGTTTAAGTTTCAAAAGTAAAAGTGAATCAGCAAAGTCAATACTCTTCAATGTTTAAGCTGATTTTCAGGAGCAAAAAAAAGATGCTGAAGATGCGGATAAAGAGTTAAAACTTTCGCTTCCAGTTCAATCAACCATTGCGACTGCAGGTTACAGCAAAAACACTCAACACTCATTTAACTATTTTTACTGAGACAACTTTTTACTATTGAACCAACAAACCCAAAACGAGATTAAAATCATTTTTGCATTAAACTTTCACCTAAATTAACTTGAAAAAACAATAAAAGCAAAAACCCAAAAAATGACCATTTAATTAACATTTACATAAACAATTGGCGAATCAAAATTAACATCTTTAATCATTGTTTACTAATCACACCTTTAATGCAGAGCAAATGAAAAATAATGAAAAAGGACAAAAAGTAGAGTAAAAATATTTCGATTGTAATCAAATAATCCAATCAAGCACTTTGTTCAATTAAATTGTTGACTTGATTGTCTAGTTGTGACCCTCAATTAAACTGGTTCATTGTTTAACCCAATCAATGATCCAATCTAGTAAACCTTTAAAACCCAAATAGCTGTAACTTTCCTCTTCAATTGTTGGTCAATCAAATATTGAAAACACCATTAAACCAGGTTAACACTATCAGAATCATCACTATTAATATCATTACCATTAATGTTTTAATAACAATCAGTTTCAAGGTTTAGGAAAATGTATTCAAATTGATCGAAATTTTTCATGAAAAATTGGCATTTCTGTTATTCGAGTTTCGCTTCAATTACAAATCAATGAAGCTCATCATACTTTCACTGTCAATTATATTGATAGCCATCAATTTTGATTCAACCCGAAGTTGTGTAAATGTGTATAATTAAAGTTAATTGTAAACGGGTTTAGCATGATTTAAATCGCATCATTAGCAGCAATGATTTATTAATAAAATGAAATTTTGAAAAAAAGTCTTTTTTTCTCAGTCAACATTTGATTTGATTTGATTTGAATCCGTTAATAACTCAATTGGACACAAAAAATGATGTTAATATTGAATTTAATGTGCCAAGTAAATCATTTATTTGATTATTTTAAGATTAATTTAAATTTGTTTTCACAATTTTCACTCAATTTTCTCGATTAAACTTACGATTAGCATTTTCAGTTGTTTCAATATCAATAACTGACTGAGTTTATTGTGATCGATCAACAATCAAAACAAAAGGTTCAATTGTAAACAATCAGGTAAACAATTAGACAAAAAGGTTTACAAATTTAGATACAACAGACCGTGAAAACATTTTTTAATTGTAATATTATTTTCTATCAACAATTAACAATCTTCTATTGAATCAACTCTTTTTTTCATGAAATCCCATTCTTTACCCTTTATTGATCAAATTGTTGACAAAAAGTCATTTAATTATGATTAATAAATTGGAGAAAAAAGATTTTTGAATAAATTTTCTCATTTTTTAGCTTCATCAACTTTCTAACGATTATCATTTTAAAGCTAAATTGCTGCACTCGGTAAACAATGTGTTCAGTAAATCAGGAAACAATTGATTATAAGATGATATTAGATTGAATTGATTGGCAAGAAAACGACATTTTTCAGTTTCCCTATTCGGTTCGAATTCAGTTATTGCAATGAATTAACTGAAGTTTATGATAATAATGATAAACCCAAAGTAGCTAATTACAATCAGTCAGAAGAATTGGAAAACTGAATGCATTTCCGAAGCAAGATTGAGATTTCGATTGTCTTCTTGCAATTGACAAATTGTCTTGTTTACAAAGGGATTGATATTAAATTAAACTTACCTTGTCATCAATTGAATTGCCAGGCTGGACATCACAATTAACTATCAAAGTCAATGATACAAATATCCCAATGGCGAGGTGAAATGACATTGTGATTAAAGTGAACAATTAAAGGTTAACTTGGTTCAATTGCAATGTTACAAGTTACGGTGTTACCCAACTTCAAGTGTAAAATGGTAACGGGAAGAGTTGCTCTTGTTGGGTTAGACGATTGTCAATGATTGGCTTGAATTGAACAGTTGGTTTGTTGTGACTTTCATTTCAGGTGATTGTTGATCAATGATTCTAAGGATGATGAAGATGATGGGAAAGAGGAAGATGTGTGAGTGAGTGAGGGTGGGCTGAGCGAAGTCAAGTTTTAAAAGGAGTTTTCATGTTTTTTTTTCAATGAACCGCAATCAAGTATCCGGCTTAGGCTCTTTTTCAACACCAATCTTTATAACAAATGAACCTTTACTTTTTGTATACTTTTACTCAACTCTATCCTCTCACTTTCATGAAACTCACACACTCAGCATACTCAGCACTCTCACACATTTAGCACTCACTTAGCACACTCTGAAATCAACCCATTCAATAATCACTTTGAAACAGATAAATTTACGGTAAACTTGTTGCTGTTTTTTTTCATCAATAACATTTGTTATATTATATTCAGCTGATCATTTTTTTTCCTTCTGATTCTTTCCTCACATTTCATTCATTTCTCATACAAGTCTTACTATCAGTTCAGGCTTTTTTGCTCTTCATTTTCATTTTCACATTTGCGCCAAAAATTCACATTCAATCAGGAAGAGTCAATTTCCAAGTCTAACCTTTTCCAATGTGCTTTTCATTTTTTTTACTCTCTTTTTCCTCAATTGCAACCAATCTATTTTTGTCTCTCATCAAGATTCCAGAATTAATTGTCATGATAATCAAACGAAATTCAGAATCTTCTCACAGAAATTTGATATTTGGACAATTTTCGCTTCTTTTTTGCTGCCACTTGCATTTTCAACTTGATTAACCTTAATTTTTTTCCTTTCATTTGGCTAATATTAAAGTTGCACTTTAATTGTTGCTTGATTATCAATGCATTGTGACTCGACGTGTGTCTCTTCATTAGGAAGTAATCAATTGATTGCAACCTTTGATTTAAATTGTATGAAAATTAAACTCAGATACACATTTAAACATCCAGTCTACTTTTTTGCTCACACTTTCTTAACTGATTTGAACAATTGAAATGAACATTAAATATGGCTAAAATTTAGAGACAATTGATTGATTCAATTAAATTTTCAATGAAATTCAAATTCAAGCTTAAGCTGACAAGTTAAATGAGTAAAATTCATCTTTCAATTTTTAACTCTCATTAACTTAGCATTGTTCAAACGGGAATCATTTCAATTGAAAAGCTTGATCTAGCATCATAATACTGGTTCAAGTGTAATTAGTTGATCAATGCTTTTCACATTATATTCATTAACACTATGAAGCTGATTGTATCAATTCAATTCATAACAATTGACTTTACTCAATTTTTGATTACATTAATCTTGAACCCATTTTATATCAATTGATCTGTTCAACTTCAAGTTTACTCTGTTTGTCCGTTACAATAGTGTTTAGTTGAGTGCAGATAAAGCGTAGATCGAAAGATCATAATGTCCAATTCTATGTTGATTGTTTTCTCGATTGCTTTAATTTTAACTGTCAACTATTGTTCAAGTGCAACAATCGTCGATTCAGACAACATATTTGACCGTTACAATCCAATGCGATGGATTTTAGGTGCTCAGCTATATTATGATACAAAATTGTTTGCTCTCAATTTACCCAATAGAGTGATTCAAGATGTTAGTAACGTTGTTCTGATTCCATGGAGAGGCAACGATTTTTCATCTTCTGGTTTACTGCCCAACATGAACAACATTTACAATAGTGTGCCACTCATTGGATCACTAATGGGACGACCATCCGCTTCCCTCGCAGCCTCTAGTACCATCGGTCCAATGTCTTCTGTTGAATATGCTAAACCTCCTGGCTCAGGCTCCTCTTCATGAACAGTGTCTAGTTAGAATGGCATCAAATCGGGTGGAAATCAACTTTAATTTTAACATCTCTACAAACTCACCTCAGTATTAACCAAGTTTTCATCTTGACCCATTCAATAAGAATCTGTCTTCCTCTGTCCCACAATTTACCGTTTATTTCATCTGGATCAACCATTTACTTTATCATGTATTTGCAATATCATTACTGTGGGAACACAAAAAGCGAAAATCGATTTCAACTCATAGCTAGCGATATCTATTGAACCATAAATCAACTCAATTTAATTTTTAATCAACGAAACTTGATTGTGTCAACGTTTAAAAGTAAAAAATTAAATGATTGACTTTATATGAGATGAATATTTAGCTTATAATAAATAAAGAAATTTAGATTATCAACTGTTCGTGTGTATCTTTAACTTTATTAATTGTTAGATTGAAACATTAGCGCAAAAATATCATTCAATTTGATAGCAGAAAACAGATTTTGTTAAATATTTGTTCCAATAGTTTTTCCTTGTTAGTTCATTTTATTTATGATGCTATCCATATTATAACTTAAATAATAGCTTTGAAGTTATGGCCAACAATGTGATTCTTACAAGCTTTCTCCAAATCTTCCATGAAACGGTTCAATGTTACCTCATTGAAGTCGTTTGATTCAACAATATCGGCAAAAGCATGCATGAATTTCATTCCAAAAGTGTGAACACCCAAGTTAAGGCATTTTGAATGGAACTTTTTGGCTACTTTTGCGTATGTTTCATGCTTAACTAATGGTCGTCGAGATAACATAACTTTCTTGGCATCTTTACAGTAATTATGGACACAAAGATGAGTGACGACCTTTTTAACGCCACGGAAAAGGAAACTTCGACCTGCTTTTAGAATCGTACTAATCAAAGACTTTTGACCAAATTGCTGTGGATCTAAGCTTGGACTGTTTTCACCATAATCTGTAAACTGTTGTTCCAATGCTTGTCTGGTCAAGTTATTATAGTCAAGCCAAGAAGCTGAATATTCATCTTCAAAGCAGGTACCAATGTTATGGGTATCACAATAACATGAAAAGCTTATCTCTTTAGAGTTGGAAGAGGTAATGGCACGAATTTTTAGATTATCTTGTAAAATGTTTTCAAACATTGAACCAGATTCACAAGCTTCCAAGTGAATTGTAAGTTTACCATACATTTTATTGTCATGCATGTAAACTAAAGCTTCGTTCAAATCATGTGAAGAAAGACAACTGGATGGGAAACCAAGAAGGCCAACACCTCCGTGTCCAGCATAGTAAATGAATACATTGTCATTGGGTCCAGTGGTGAGTACTTTCTTACCCATGGCAGCAAGAGTCTTGTCACCTTTGAGTACACCAAGGAAGTTTTCAGCAGTTACTTCCTCGCCAGTGTAATCTTTCACTACACCAGCATAGACATCAGTGCCATTGGGAGCATTGAATATTTGACCAGGGAAAGGATTCATTTGATCATAGGCAATATCGTCGTACATCATGACAATGATGTTTTTTGCAGGAACTCCATGATTAATAAGGATTTGATAAGTATGGCAAACATGAGCTTGATGACGATAATTGAAGTGTGTATTTGACCCAGCAACCAGGACAGCATAGGTATTGTAACCAGCATGCGACTTGGAACTCAACAAATCAGTCAAAGCTGAAGCTGAAAGGGTGAAAAGTAATGGGAAAATGATTAAAAATGAAAACATTGTCTCAAACAATCGTCAAGTGTTTGGCAAAAATTGATCAACTGTTGAAACACAGTTGCATTGCCATAGTTTTATTGGAAATTATTTTACAAGAATAATCAACTCAATCTGTTCAGCAATAATTTTACATTCGTGTAATGTTGTTGCATCCAGCTGGAATGAGTTTCGGAGCGAACGCTTTCCAGTTTTGTTTTACATCTGGAAGTATATTCGCTCATCTTATATTATGATTTTCGTTTTTTGTTATTCCCACAGTAAACTGATATTGCAACTTGTTCGGATTTGCTTCTTTTTATTTACATATTGATTAATCAAACGAATCAATACCAGCTCTAAATAAGGTTAGTAAATGGTTGATCCAGATGAAATAAATGGTAAATTGTGGGTACAGAGGAAGACAGTCTTATTGAATTGGTTAAGATTACAATATTGAAATTATAAACTGAGGTAAATCTGAAGGAAGAGATGTAAAATTAAAGTTAATTTTCACCCGATTTGATATTATTCTGACTTGATTCTATCAATGATTTATGATTGTTACTTGAAGAATAGTTGACAGTCAAAACGAAGCTATGCTGTTTATTGAATCTGAGTAAACTTAGTTTAATTTCTTGTCAGCAATTCGTATGAACGTAGTAATAAAAGTTAAGGTAACTTGATTGTAACTTTTGGCTACTTTTGAGTATGATTATTGGTGGTCGAGTTTACACAACTTTCCATCTGAGCAATAGCCATTAGAACAAAGTTGAGAGATGATTTTTACTAAATTATTAAGGAACCACCCGTGGAACCGAAGAACACCAATATGCAAGTATTTGCAATCGATTGCAGAAAAATTTGTCCAACTCTGAAAATTTGGTTATTCAAGTTAAAAAGTCCATTGAAGTAATCATAGACAAAATTCAACAAAAATAATTTTGCTAACGAGGGAGGTGTCCCAAGTGTCTCAATAATTTCGGGACGAGACCATATGCATTCGATAGAGCATAAAAAAATTATGTAAAGTGTTAACGTCTCCCGTTTCGGAAACTTTCGGATCACGAGTTAATTGAGGTCGAAAGACCCAATTTTCACGAAAACATGCAAGTGTCGAAATTTTTACTCTATTTTTATTACATTAATAAAAATTTACATCGTCCCGAAATTATTGAGACACTTGGGACACCTCCCTCGTAAGTAAAAAGCGAACGAATTGACATGGTTATTCATGAAAATTAGGCAAAACTTTATTTTCTATGCTGTTTAATAGTTGAAGCAAAAAAAGGCAATCTAATGCATATTATGCATCAATGCTTTACAATGTGAACAAATTGCGTTTCAGAATATCATTACAACGGTTTGCGATTTGATTTGGTTTTGAACTAGTTGAACTTAAATTTGATATTACGTTGATAAAAGCTGGCATTTAGCTGGGTCGTGTTGAAAGCCATGTTTATTGGCTTTTTGTTGAAATCGAAGTCATATCCATACCCTTGGCTGTGAATTTTCAGAGGAACACTAAAGGCACATTTATCAATAACAATTGAAAACTTTGGCCATTCTAGGTCTGCAGTGTAATCATTCATACCATATTGATTAAGACGATAACTTAGACCTTGGAAACTTTTTTTACAGTCTACAGCAAACTTGATATCATCCGCATTTGAGAATGTAATTGATCGATCTTCGGGTTTTGCATCTTTCTTCAGAGAATAGATGAAACCTGTGATTGAATCTTTTTGCTTACTTAAAGTTATCTTATTCAAACCTTGAGGATCATAAAATGTAAGCACATCATATTCAGAACAGTCAGGGAAAGACTCGTGGTAAGGTATAAGACGAGTTAAACTGGAGGCAACTGGAGCTCTGTTGCCATTGAAACCAAAATAAATGTAATTCTTTATCTTTTCATCGACCAACAATTCACTCAATATTGTAAAATTTGAAATTGGCTGTTTTACATTTCCAGACAATTGTAATTTCCAGTTACATTGTTGACCATCAACATTCTTTTTTTTGGTGAACTTATTGCAATGCAAGTCGTAGGATTTATTTTTGTACAAAAATGAAAGAGTCATGTTATCATTTAGCTCGGTATGATCAGCAATTATGTCGATAGTCACATATTCAGCATTTAATTTTCGATAACCGGAAAAAATTACAGTTGCTGCACAAGAAGAGCCACAGTCAGTAAAACCAAACTTATCGATGCTGAAATAGTGTTTGGGAACTCCGCATTTATCATTGGCTTGGACTGCTGATAAACTTGCGAGGGAAATGAGGATAACTTTAAAGTAAAACATGATTACTTTAATCAATAATCGAATAATGATTTTACTGAGATTTCGAGGTTTATATACTGAGTTTTCACCTGTGATTGGGTCACCTTAAAATTGAATGATTCCTAGGTATTTTCTTGTCTCATTGTGTGTCAATAAAAGTCAATTATGTTTACTGTCTCAATTGATCTTTTTTTCATTAAAGGGCGAATTTACTGTGACGCAAAGTGTTCACCTGTGATTGAAAATTTAATAATTGTTATTCAATGATATCTGTTCCTGATGCATTGTGCTTCAAAAGTCAATATGTTAATTGCCTAGATTGATTTTATTTGAAATAATAGCTGACTTTGATAGCATGAAAATGTTAGTCGAGACTAGCATCGCAACAAAAAATGTTAAAATGATGTAAAAAACTTTTGATGAAAGGGAAATACCAGAAAACCCGAATGGGTCCTGATTGATAGGCAATGTTAGGTGATTTTCGCAGGAATCGTTACTTCGTCATAGACAGAATCTGAGACATGTCTAGACAATCAGGATACTGAAAGAAGACTTCTATTCTTCTCTTTCTGAAAATTCCAAGTTTAGTTTTTAAATTAAGATGGTGCAAAATCTAACTACGAAGTAAAAGGTAAATTGAGTTAAGTTAGTAAGCATCATAAGGTAAAGTTCGATTGCAAATGAACCTTGAATATGGCTAAAATTAGAGTCAGATTAGAGGAATAACAATAATCAAATTTTATAAGGTTTGTACAATTATGGAATCAAATTCAACTTTAATGACTAGTGGGTTAAAATTGGTAATTTTTAGTGTATAAAGAAATGATTTCAATCAAATTCATTGTTATCAACGATATGTAGCCTTTATTTCAATCAGATTTCCGTGAAACATCAATATAATGCAAAAGAAACAAGTTCGGTCGATGAATTAATTTAATGGCAATCAAAAAATTGAATTAAATACAGATGTAAAGAAATGAAAACAGGTAACTGTAGTTCATAATAAATAAGGACATTAAACTATTCTGCTTTAAATAATTGAATATTTTAAACTTTAATTATTTAATTTATGTGACACTGAATTTCCTAAAGGGCGAATCCTATTGACCTACCAGTTCGTGAATCGCCATTCTCTTTGGTATTTTCCTGCTCATTTTTTCTGTTGTTGGATGATGCTGGATCCCAACTTTGAACTTCACCAGAACCCAAAAGACAAAACATTATCACACCGGCCACATTAAGTGCAGATGATATGTAAAAGAATAGATACCAATTCTGTTGAGATGGGTTTTTACCAACGATTTGAGCGGCTGCTTCATTAGCAATCAATGAAGCTATACTGGCCATTACGCTGTAAAAACCAGATAATGTACCAGCAAATGAAGGTGCAATATCTAGATGGTTAACTGCGACTCCAGCATCGGATAAAGTACCCATTCCTTTAGCGATGGCTAAGGTTAACACAACGAGAACTTTTCGTTTTCCTAATAATGTTATGGCTACTACTCTGTCTTTCATTGCACTTCCACTCAATTGAGCTTCAATACCAACTAACCATGGAAGACTTTCCATTCAAATCCAGACAAATCCATTCTGCAAATGATAAGTTTAATAAAGTTAGCATTTGGTTTAGGTTAAAATCGACTGAATTAAAACTTACAGAAGTATGTCGAGGAGATCTGTACATCTGTAAAACGGCTCCAACAACCCATCCATAGGTGAATGCAGGAATTAAATAAGCAAATACGGGAATAGAAGTAAACATTTTGACCCATGGAACTTTGACCTGTGAAACAAATAAAACATTAAATATTGATGATGATTCGCATCATCAATTACTTACCGAGTCTCCTGAACTGACCGATCTATTCTTCAATATCAATTCCAACTCTTCAGCACCTAAATATGGATGATCTTCTGGAGTATCATAAACAATTACATAGTAAATGATGGCTATAATCAAATTGAATGCACCAAAGAGGTAAAACACTGAAGGCCAACCACCAAGGAAACCAGAGTCAACCAGAATACCAGCAAGAGACAAGGATACCAGATTAGCGAATATACTTCCAGATGTTACAACAGAACTGGAAAGAGTTCGCTCGGAAGTCAGAAGTACGACCACCGAATAAAGACATGACCAGAATACCCCAAAAAGAAGCTGCAAGTACTCGAGATTTATCTACATTCGACCAATTAACAAGGACACTTCCTGATGATTTCAATGGTGTAATTTTAATGTCGACGGTCGAGTTGATCGTTGAGTTGACTTTAATTTTAATATCTCTACAGATTTACCTCAGTATTAAATAAGTTTTCATCTTAACCTCATCTTGACCAACAAACTAAGCAAAATATTTTTTGCTAAACTTAAAAAAACAAGCGAACGAATTGACATGATTATTCGTAAAGATTAGGCAAAACTTTATTTTCTATGCTGTTTAATAGTTAAAAGCAAAAAAGACAATCTAATACATATTATGTATCATTACTTTACAATTGGATTTATTCCCGTTTTGTGGATACCATTAAGACGGCTTGCGATTTGATTTGGTTTTCACTAGTTGAATTTAAATTCGATATTGGGTTGGTAAAAGCTGGCATTTGGTTGGGTCGTGTTGAAAGCCATGTTTAGTGGCTTTTTGTTGAAATCAAAGTAATTTCCATAACCGCGGCTAAGAACTTTCAAAGGAACACTGAAGGCGCATTTATCAGCAACAATTGTAAACTTTGGCCATTCAACGTCTGCAGTGTGATCAATCTCACCATATTGATCTAGGTGACAACTTTGACCTTGAAAGCTTCTTTTACATTCAACAGCCAACTTAATATCATCCACATGTGAGAATGTAATTGATCGATTTTCGGGTTTGTCATCTTTCTTCAGAGAATAGATGAAACCTGTAATTGAATCTTTTTGCTTACTCAAAGTTATCTTATTCAACCCTTGAGGATCATAAAATGTAAGCACATCATATTCAGAACAGTCAGGGAAAGACTCGTGGTAAGGTATAAGACTAGTTAAACTGGAAGCAACTTGAGCTCTGTTGCCATTGAAACCAAAATAAATGTCATTATTTATCTTTTCATCGACCAACAATTCACTCAATAGTGTAAAATTTGAAATTGGCCGTTTTTCATTTCCAGACAATTGCAATTTATAATTACACTTTAGACCATCCTTGTAGTACACTGCATACCTTTTGCTGGTCAACTTATTGCAATGCAAGTCGTAGGATTTATTTTTGTAAAAAAATGAAAGAGTCATGGTATCATTTGGCTCGGTATAATTAGCAATCATGTCGATAGTCACATATTCAGCATTTAATTTTCGATAACCGGAAAATATTACAGTTGCTACACAAGAAGAGCCACAGTCAGTAAAACCGAATTCATCGATGCTGAAATAGTGTTTAGGAACTCCGCATTCATCAATAGCTTGAACTGCTGATAAACTTGCGAGGGAAATGAGGATAACTAAAAAGTAAAACATGATTACTTTGATCAATAATAGAATAATGATTTTACTGAGATTTCGAGATTTATATACTGAGTTATCACCTGTTATTGGGTCACCTTAAAATTGGATGATTCCTAGGTATTTTCTTGTTTCATTGTATGTCAATAAAAGTCAATTATGTTTACTGTCTCGATTGATCTTTTTTGTTCATTAAAGGGCGAATTTACTGTGACGCAAAGTGTTCACCTGTGATTGAAAATTCAATTATTGTTATTAAATGGTATTCTGTGCTTAATCCATTGTGCTTCAATAGAAGTCAATATATTAATTGGCTAGTTTGCTTGCATTTGAAATAATAGCTGATTTTGCTAGCATAATATTAATCAAGTCTAGCATGGCAACAAAAATGTTAAAATGATACAAACTTTAAACTCATCGCACAGATTTCATTGTTAACTACCAAAGAAACGAAGCACGAAAGTAGCCGATGATAGACAGAACAGTTTTTCATTGATTTACAATGAAAAACGGTGCAAATGATGGAAGGGAAATACCAGAAAACTGGACCATGATGGATAGGCATTAAAATACTGGGTGATTTTTGCAATTGCAAGAATCGTTAATTCGTCATAAACCGAATCTGAGACATGTCTAGACAGTTACTGGAAGAAAATAATTTTCGTTCTCTTTCTGAAAATTTCAGGTAAGTTTAGTTTCTTAATTTAAATGCTGCAAAAACCGACTACGGAGTAATTGTTAAAACGGCTTGTTAGAACTTGTGAGAGCTTAATCATAGTTCAGATCACTGAGAAATTCACGCTAGTTCTTAGTTTTGTTTAAAGAAATGATTTGCAATCAAATTTTTTGTTATCAACGATATGTCGACTTTATTTCAATCAGATTTCCGGGAAACATCAATATTATATTAAGAAACAAGTCCACTCAATGATTTAATTTAATACAGATGTAACAAAATGCAAACAAGTAATTGTGATTCATAATAAATAAGGACATTAAACTATTCTGATTTAAATAATTGAATATTTTAAACTCGTATTATTTAATTTCTATTGACTCGGGATTTCTAAAGGGCGAATCCTATTGACCTACCGGTTCGTGAATCGCCATTTTCTTTGGTATTTTCTTGATCATTTTGTGCTTCTGATTTTACATTTTGTCTGTTGTTGGATGATGCTGGATCCCAACTTTGAACTTCACCAGAACCCAAAAGACAAAACATTATCACACCGGCCACATTAAGTGCAGATGATATGTAAAAGAATAGATACCAATTCTGTTGAGATGGGTTTTTACCAACGATTTGAGCGGCTGCTTCATTAGCAATCAATGAAGCTATACTGGCCATTACGCTGTAAAAACCAGATAATGTACCAGCAAATGAAGGTGCAATATCTAGATGGTTAACTGCGACTCCAGCATCGGATAAAGTACCCATTCCTTTAGCGATGGCTAAGGTTAACACAACGAGAATCTTCCGTTTGCCTAATAATGTTATGGCTACTAAACCAAATGAACAAGTTCCAAGAGCTAGAAGAGAATCGAGAAGATAGTTATTATAATAAAATAAAGTTTGTCTGTTGATTTAATTAAACTTACATAAGACAGTGACAACTTTACGAATTGCTGTTAACGAAAATCTGTTTGTTTTCCTTACTCTGTCTGTAATTGCACTTCCACTCAATTGAGCCCCAATACCCACTAACCAAGGAAGACTTGCTACAAATCCATTCTAGAGATGATACAATTAATAAAGTCAGTGTTTGGTTTGGTTAAAATCGACTAAATTAAAACTTACAGAAGTATGTGAAAATTCGAGGACATCTTCATAAAATGATGGCATCTGTGCAATGACAGCTCCAACGACCCATCCATAAGTGAATGCAGGAATCAAATAAGCAATAACGGGAATAGAAGTAAACATTTTGACCCATGGAACTTTCACCTTTAATAAGGATCAAGAAAGTAGAAATGGTAGTTACCATTGAACATCGATGATTATTGATGATGTGCATTGTTCTGTCAATTACTTACCGAACCTCCTGAACTGACTGATCTATTTTTCAATATCAATTCCAACTCTTCAGCACCTAAATATGGATGATCTTCTGGAGTATCATAAACAATAATATAATAGATGATGGCTATATCAAATTAAATGTACCAAAGAGGTAAAACACTGAAAGGCCAACCACCAAGGAAACTAGAGTCAACTCAGAATACTCAGCAGAGACAGAGATACCAAATTAGCGAATATACTTCCAGATGTTACAACAGAACTGGAAAGAGTTCGCTCCGAAGTCAGTGCCCATCTGGATACAACAACATTGCACGAAGGTAAAATGATTCCTGTACAGATTCCGTTGATTGTTCGTATGAAATAAGCTCCAGCAAAACTACGGATTGATATAGTTGGGAATAAAAGAGTCACCAATCCATTCACCAAAAGTGTTAGTGTTACAACTTTTCTTGGACCATATAACTCACAAATACGACCACCGAATAAAGACATGACCAGAATTCCCCAAAAAGAAGCTGCAAGTACTCGAGATTTATCAACATTCGACCAATTAACATGGACACTTCCTGATGATTTCAAAGGTGTAATTGTAACATCGCTTGTTGAATCTACTGTCGAGTTTATAGATGAGTTGACTATTTTGGGGATCGTTGAGTTGAATGAGTCTACCGTGTGTTCATGTTCCTTACCAATCATGGCCACTACCGTCAAACTAAAGCTGTTAAGACCAACGCATATGGAAAAAATGGCAATATTTGAAAGGATGAATATGAACCAACGGAATCGAGTAACGTTATTGATCATTGATTTGATTGAAACAACACTATCACCTCTGGAACGAGTCATTTTTGTGTTAATTGGTTGTTCAGATGAAAGTTTTCACTTTTTATTTACAATGTTTTATAACTTTACAAGAATACTGTTAATTGTTTGTAAATTGTTTGTTTGAATGAAAAAGTTTCGTTCAGTCTCGTCCTTTTAAGTGTTTTTTCGTACCTTATCATCTCTGTTCATTAATCTTTGTTTAATTTGAATAATCTTGCGGATTTAGATCATTGCTTTGAATTCATTTTCTGGCGCAAACTGATTAGATGCAATCGCTCACGTGCAGCCTTTGAATTGATCTGATTGAAACATTTAATCTAATGTCTCGTGTTTAGTACAATAATTATAAATTTGTGTGTTGATAATACTTAATCTAGATGGAATCAAAGCCTCGAAAAAATCGAACCCTTCAAACTCTTTAAAGCTTAACTAGTATTAATTAGCGATTAGTTTCACTGGGATTTGTTATGTTTTAATATTTAGTAATGTTAGTAACACATAAATGTTAGTACAAAAGCATTAGGAAAGTTGCTCTTCCCTATCAACTCAATAATTTGATGATTTTAGTTTATTCACCAAAATAAACTAACTAACGATTGTTTTGATCGGAACATTGACCATAACGTCACCCTAAGGTCTGTACCTTTGTAGCTCGGTTATCGTTTTTAAATAAGCTCCAATGAAACTATGAATGGCTTGTTTTTGAAATAAAAGGTATCAAAATTTATGATTGCCAATAATGCACAATGAAGTTAAACATGACAAATAAAACCTTGAAATGATATGGTCTTCTCCACATTTATTGCGTTTCATCTAACAGAATTGACAGTTAATCAATTTTCCCAAACACTTGACGATTATTTGAGACAATGTTTTCATTATTAACTATTTTCCCCTTTTCACCCTTCTCAGCTTGAACACTTTTGACTGAGTAGCTACGTGAAGCTTTAGTCTCCATGCATGACAATGAAATTTATGGTAAACTTACATTTTACTTGGAAACTCGTGAATCTGGTTCAATATTTTACCCAAAGATATAAGCATTAATGCTTCCACTGCTGCCAACTGATGTTTAAAGATCTTTTGAAACACACTCCAAGCTCACATCCCAACAATTGGCCAAAATTCTTTGGCTGGTCTAGCAGTTGGTCGATTCCGGGGTTAAAACGGGCAAGATTCACGCTCCTAGACATTCAAGAGATTCCGTAAGCGTAAAAGCTTAAGTTAATATAAGGCTACGCTACGATGCTACTGAAGCTGCTGTTGATGTAAAAGTTATATACTTTGATTGCTGGTCGACGATTACTTGAATGAGGAATCAAAAAGTTCATCTCTCAACTTTTTTCTAATAATTATTGCTCAGATACCTAACAAGTTATGTAAACTCGTCGACCATTAAACATAAATGCACTCAAAAGTAGCCAAAAAAGTTCTATCAATTTTCCTTAACTTTTATTTCTCAACGTTTATCCAAATAGTTTTGTTGAAATTAAACTGACTTTATTTTTAAATCCAATAGATGTAATTAGCTTTGAGTAAGGACCAACTTTCGTTGCTTCTTTCATTTTTAATATAACTTGCTTGAGATCAATGATTTAATTTTTAATTTGTGTTTTAAATCACCTTTGGAAAACTGGTCACAACACTTTTAGGAAGAACAAGGATTCCTATTGTGTTAACTCTAGCCATTGAGAATTCCTGCTGCTTTTGATTGCTTTTGCAAAACTTTAAGTTGCATTTTATTCTCGAAATCAATTTGATAGGCAAAATTTTAAAAGTATTGAACTAAAATGCTAAAACGTAAATGAGAATATCAACATTAATTCACTCGTTAGTTTGATTTATTTTAATTTCAGTCAATGCATTTATTTTATTTGGTGCGCCCGTTTCTTTGAGACTAACTGTTCATCAAATGCTCAATGTTAAATAAAAATCATCAAATTATTGAGTTGATAGGGAAGAGCAACTTTCCTAATGCTTTTGTACTAACATTTATGTGTTACTAACATTACTAAATATTAAAACATAACAAATCCCAGTGAAACTAATCGCTAATTAATACTAGTTAAGCTTTAAAGAGTTTGAAGGGTTCGATTTTTTCGAGGCTTTGATTCCATCTAGATAAGTATTATCAACACTCGAAATTATAATTATTGTACTAAACACGAGACATTAGATTAAATGTTTCAATCAGATCAATTCAAAGGCTGCACGTGAGCGATTGCATCTAATCAGTTTGCGCCAGAAAATGAATTCAAAGCAATGATCTAAATCCGCAAGATTATTCAAATTAAACAAAGATTAATGAACAGAGATGATAAGGTACGAAAAAACACTTAAAAGGACGAGACTGAACGAAACTTTTTCATTCAAACAAACAATTTACAAACAATTAACAGTATTCTTGTAAAGTTATAAAACATTGTAAATAAAAAGTGAAAACTTTCATCTGAACAACCAATTAACACAAAAATGACTCGTTCCAGAGGTGATAGTGTTGTTTCAATCAAATCAATGATCAATAACGTTACTCGATTCCGTTGGTTCATATTCATCCTTTCAAATATTGCCATTTTTTCCATATGCGTTGGTCTTAACAGCTTTAGTTTGACGGTAGTGGCCATGATTGGTAAGGAACATGAACACACGGTAGACTCATTCAACTCAACGATCCCCAAAATAGTCAACTCATCTATAAACTCGACAGTAGATTCAACAAGCGATGTTACAATTACACCTTTGAAATCATCAGGAAGTGTCCATGTTAATTGGTCGAATGTTGATAAATCTCGAGTACTTGCAGCTTCTTTTTGGGGAATTCTGGTCATGTCTTTATTCGGTGGTCGTATTTGTGAGTTATATGGTCCAAGAAAAGTTGTAACACTAACACTTTTGGTGAATGGATTGGTGACTCTTTTATTCCCAACTATATCAATCCGTAGTTTTGCTGGAGCTTATTTCATACGAACAATCAACGGAATCTGTACAGGAATCATTTTACCTTCGTGCAATGTTGTTGTATCCAGATGGGCACTGACTTCGGAGCGAACTCTTTCCAGTTCTGTTGTAACATCTGGAAGTATATTCGCTAATTTGGTATCTCTGTCTCTTGCTGGTATTCTGGTTGACTCTGGTTTCCTTGGTGGTTGGCCTTCAGTGTTTTACCTCTTTGGTACATTTAATTTGATAATAGCCATCATCTATTATATTATTGTTTATGATACTCCAGAAGATCATCCATATTTAGGTGCTGAAGAGTTGGAATTGATATTGAAAAATAGATCAGTCAGTTCAGGAGGTTCGGTAAGTAATTGACAGAACAATGCACATCATCAATAATCATCGATGTTCAATGGTAACTACCATTTCTACTTTCTTGATC